TAAGTTTTAAGAACTATTCATTGGATGTCTAAATTAACCAGCATAGATGGTATAACTGCAGCCATGCTCAACATGTTATTTCATGGATAATGAACATATTTTTAATACCAGTGAACTATTATATTGCTTTCTAGACTTAAAAATATATTTATAAAATTAAATTAATGCTAAATACAGTACAAAATGATTCATATGCTTTTAAAACTAAATATGCAACTTCATAAATATGTTTTCATTCATTATGTTAGCTCTCAGATTGCTTAAATGATGAGATTGCACAGAAAACAGTTGAGGGAATGGCCTGATGTTGTGTCAGGGGAGGTTTAGGTTGGATATTAGAAAAAGATTTTTCACCCAGAGGGTGGATGGGCATTGGAACAGGCTCCCCAGGGAAGTGCCAAGTACCACAGCACCAAGCCTGACAGAGTTCAAAAAGTGTGTGGATGATACCCTCAGGCACATGGTGTGACTCTTGGGGATGGTCCCATGCAGGGTTAAGAGTTGGACTCAGTGATCCTTGTGGGTCCCTTCCAACTCAGCATATTCTGTGATTCTGTGTGATCTCTGTTAGTGGGATAGGTGCTAGGGAAAAATTAAAAAAAAAAAAAAAAAAATCAAAAATCAGAAACACTCAAAGTTAGAGGGATAAATCTCTCCAGATCACTTTTCTTCTACCACAGCCTCAGATTAATAAGGTAGTTTCAAATTCTTTAGTTATTTACAGTAAAAAAAGACCACAGAAATGATGACCAAGGAAATCGACATTTTATATTCCAGCATACTTTCTAGTACCAAAATCTAATTAATCAATTAAAGAGAAACAGCACTATAAAACAGAGAATACATTAGAATGGAACCAAGGGATGCCTTTAAGGTGAGGAAAATAAATATTTCAGAAGGTCATAATGTAAACTTTTTTGTTAGTCCTATCAGTGGCTGCACAAATTTTTAATACATTTGAAAAAAGACAATTAATGTAGTATTAAAGTACTCCTGCACAGCAATCTACATCTTTAACAGTATTCTTTTGACATGTATTCACAGCAAGAGCCAAGTGCCTAATTTGAGCATTTGCAGTGAGCTTTCTAAATTATGTTTATACACAATTTATTTGATCATTGGTAAGAACTGAAATCCATGCACCTTTAAGGAAAGGAAAGTGAGAAACCAAAGTAAGTGAAAATAGGTTTAAAAGACAACTGACCTTTTTCCACTTCATTCAGATTAGCAGCTTGCAGTGACAAAGACAGAAGAGACAAGAGACTTTTTACATTGTAATACAACAGCATAGCACATTAAGCTAATGCACAACTATAGCAGCAGAGAGGTTGATATAGCAAAATGAAGCAAGCTTCAGAGTCTCACCTACAGCAGAGCAAAACAAATGGAAAGGTAAGAAGTACATGCCACTGGTGGCATAAGGAAGGTTTTACTTCTGGATCAGTTAGATTTGTGATCTAATGACTGATGACAATGAGCAAAAGAAATGATCATCTGTAACCTATAGAATGCACATAAAATGGCCTGAAGTTTATAGACTGAGGTTGAAATAAAGGAGATGGTAATGCTAAGAGAATAGCGAGATTAAAGAGTGCAGGACATAGTGAGGTATTTTAAATGTTTGTTTGGTTTTTTTTTTCCCCTTAAGTTTTGATCAGACATGAGAGTGCCCGTTGATTCCATTTGCTTACTGTTGTTTCACAGTTACAGTCTGTGATCTTGAGAAAGCTCACAGCATAGTGCAAATACCACTCTTTTCTCTTTCCACCTATAACTGCGGTGGCAGCTGTAAAACTTAACTGAGGCAGAGAAAAATGGACTCCTGATTCTCAAGCAACATAAGCTTTTTAAATTGCTTTTTAAAAAATCAACACTGCATAGTTGAGAAGTGTTGATTTTCAAAGGATTGTTAGAAAAGTCAAAAAGAGACTGGTAGGTTTTACACTGTAACATTCACTGCCCTCCATGTGAAAATAAAAAGTTATATAAGAATGATTCACATTTCATACCAGCAGGTTTAAGATGACTTCTCCCTTATACTGTGCCACTGAAATGTAAAGCATATTTGCAGATAACCGTTCATCCAGAAAAATATTCTGGGCTGGTGCACTTCCATATTGAGTACATATATGCTGTGACATCTTGAACACAGACAATTCAAAATATTGTCAACAGAATTAAAAGAGAGCAGGACAAGGCCACAGTGGCATTTTCAAGGTATATATACTGAGCCAGTCTTCAGTAACTTACAGCTCAGGGACTTTGTTAGCTAGAGATAAGTATTTTTGAATTTAAAAATCTTTTTATAGACTGAATATGTAGCCTGTTTCCTGATTGTTAACCTAATTTTGCCCAGCTAGTCCATGAATTCATTTAGGAAAAAATACCTTTCATAAAAAAACCCCATTGGAAATATGCACGTCTGATTTTAACCTGTTAGAAGAGATACTAAAATCCAAATGTTTACAAGGTTCCTCATGAAAATCACTCTATACATACTTGACAGAGATTCTGTTATTTATCTTTCAATGTGGGCTATAAGCCAGAAAAAAAGGTTCTATAAATAATTTGGTACCTCATACACACTTGAGGCAACTGTATGATTACTTTATATTCTGAACACCACTCTTTCTAGATCCTTATGTGTTCAGACTACTGCCAGTCTAATTCTTAATATCAAAGGTTATTTACTACGCAAGATAAAGGATGATAGATGTGAGGACACCTTTACTAACTCATTTTCTCCTTACAACTAATCTCTAAAATCACTTAGGATCTCACGCATTGTGTCCTATTCTCAGATGCTTTTTAAGATATACAGTATATTGTATTATTAGGTACTGTATTCTATACAATGGAAAACTTGAACTTTTGCTACATTTTTTGTCCAAATTATCTATAAAATGAGCCTCTAGTGATGTATTTAAAAAAAAAACATGTCTTTTTTATTTTGGTAAAGTGTTAAAAAAAATCTGGTGAGATAGTATAAATTCCAAACAGTTTTTAACAAACAGAAAGGCTAAATGTAATGATTACAAGTAGATTGTTTTGATCTATTTTAGAGCTGGTGAGAAGATTCTCACCTACTCACGTTTTCTACTGACTTCAGTAGTGATTATGCGTAGGCATTGTATCTGTAAAAGCAAATCTCTTCTTCTGAAAGAAGTACAGTTAGCAAACAAAAACACTTGCCATGTAAACTCACAGTATTATTCTGGTAGAATTATGCACAGTTATGAAACAAATTTAGAAATACACTTTCTTACATTTTGACTAAAGAAGCACAACTGCAATAGAAATACAAAAAATGTTATCAATGTTTATTATGTCTTTTTGCTCTAATGTATGGAAAGTGTATAGAGAAATGCTTGAATTTTTGTTTTGATTGTAAATTTAACTTTTATATTTCATTTACAATACTCCAAAAATGCAAGAGGCACACTTAATCAAAGTTTTAGGCCAGCACATGTAAACAATCCTTTGAATCCAGTCCATGGATATTTAATAAAAATGAATCTTTCCCATGGCATACTATTAATCCAGCAAGCTATTGACTCTAGCAGTTAAGGGCACCCAGAGCAAGGCTGAAAATGAAGAAATTAATGACATGTAAAAACACCGGCAAAGCTGCAGAGGAGGAATGCACTTGCAAAGGAACTATCTTCTATCTAATAGATATATGAAGCCTCTTAGCATGAAGCCACTGAACAGGAATACTGGACTGATGTGACTTTTCTTTGCATTCTTCCAACCTGCACAAAGGAATGTCTGATCCCATTTTTAAAGGAGATAGTAACTGATCCCAGGGGAGTGAAGCTTAACTCACATATGCCTGAAATATTAGTTGTAGGAGAAATAGAAAACACTTGTCTCTACTTACTGACGCTGTTACCTGTTATTTTTTTCCAAGGCTTGAATTGTGAATTCTACCAAAAATTTATGGATGAATACATATAATAGATTATAAAGTTGCATTTCTTATATTTGTGTTTTATCATATTCACTCACTGTGCATTCCCAAGATTTAAATACTGACCTTAAATCTGACTACCCTAAAACATTGGAGCAATCCAACAGGCTGTAGAAGTAATGACATAAACACTTTGGGTGAGAAAACAGAGAGCTGTGTTTTCAAAAAATGAAATTAATTCAGGAGTTCACTTCTCCTCACAGTTTTCCAGAGCTCAGATTTGACTGATTGATTAAAGCAAAAATATGGGATGAGTGTGTAGGGTTAATTCCCAAGTTATGGTGGACCTTACATTTCTTTTTTATGCATTTCAAATCATGGTTTTATGAATTTAAGCTCGATGTTCTCCAAGAGGTCAGCTAGCTGAGAGAAAATAGATCTGTCTAGTTAGAAAAACTATAAAACAGATCAATGCAAACAATAGATCCTACTTCCTCTGTGCTGCTCTTCTAAATATCCTCCATTGCTGCAGAGACAATGACAGCAAGCCACAGATCCTCTGTCTCAAAGAGAAGGGAATACTTTGGCTTGGCTGCCCACTGATAGAAAGAAATAATTAGACACTTGTCTTTGTTTTCTGTGCAGGAAGCATCACACTCTGTATTAATATTTCTAACAGGGGGTAGGAAAGCGTCCAAGGGTGCCAAATACACTGTTCCCACTGTTCTGGCACAGACAAATCCTTGTCTACCCTGTTAGTAAAATGAGGTTTACAGGATAAAAGCAGAATATTTTTCAGATTTCTACAGCTACAGAGGTCCTTCACTGGGGTGTCTAGGCAGACAGTAGGGAGGGGCCCATTTTGAATGACCTTTTAAATATAAAAATGCCTTAATTTCAAAACTAAAAAAGGAATTAATGAGTGGACATTAAGTCTACTTTTGACTACAAACCATACAGGAGAAAAATATGGAGGGAAACTTGGCCTTAAGGCAGTTGTAGAGTAACTAATAATTCACCTGCAAAGTGGAAAATATTACTGTTCTCCTAGGAATTCTTGAATTGCCTGTGCTTTCTCTTATACTCCTACCTGTATATTCAGGTGGACAAAGGCAAGTATAGTTATTAATTCCATCCACACAAGTAGAATTATTTTCACAGTCATTGTCTTCACAGTCATCAACATTTACTTCACAGTTTTCACCTTCAAATCCATCTGCACAAGTGCACCTATAATACAGGAAACAGAATAACCACATGCACATTTTAGCTGGGGAGTCTGGACAAGGGACTCTCTAATTAATAGGTACAATAATTTACAATCACTACTCCATAACAGAACACAATTTATATAATGTAAAAAACTCCCACATAATAAATGTTACTAAAATATTTTTCATATTTAAAATTACAGAAAAAAGGCTTCTAAAGTTGTACTTTAACCTTTAGTATAAGGAACATTCATGGAACATTCCTTTTGAAAAGCGTGCTACCTTTATATTATAAGATTATATTTCTTATAGAAAGTGATCCTTTTGGTTCTTTAGTTAAACACATGGAAAAGACTGAAATTAGGGATTAGTATGTAATAGTAGTATTCCACTTTTGTTCAGTTAACTGCACCAATACAAAGCTCTCTTTAATTGCACAACACATGCATTCATATAAAAAACAAAGTCTGTATAAACTCTGTGAAAGAGTAATTTATTTTTTGCTTTTAAGCATTTTTATGCAAAACCAGCACATCAAAATAGATAGTAAATGTAAAAGTCACTCAAACATGACTGTACATACATTTTCTTGTAATCTGCACTTTCTGCAATTTCTCTCACAATTTCTGCAGCTTTCATTATGAGATTGCTTAGATTTTCAAAATATGTAGTGTTTAAACAAATAAATGAAGAAGGTAAAATTCTGAGGCATGACTATGTCAATTTAAATCCTTGAGGCATAATATTAAGATGTATATGCTTATTTTTTAATAGAAAACTGTTCAATCTTTGTGCAGAATTTGGATTAAAAGTAAGAATAATGTCATAATGAATTGCAGGATAATGAATTATATCTTTTTGTAGTGTCATTTCTAACAAGCTTGAGGTGTAGATTATTAAATGACTAATAATTTCACATAAAAATGCTAAAGAACTTCATTTCATAATTCATGAAGTACATCTGGAGTAATTGTACTGTGTGATTAAATAACTCAAGATTAAAAATGCTCACAGCATGTTTATCTGCTGGCATAGTGAGTTTCAAATGAATCATTAATTTTCTGTTTCACTGGGATTTACATTTTATCATTTACATGCTGTCTGTTGAAGTAATACATACAACAACAGATGAATTGTGAGATTTTTTTCAGCAGGGATCTAGCAAGCTATTAATTAACATAATGGAGTCAATACTATGTTGTCTTGACCTGATATGCCTCAACTAATCACAATCATTAGTTATTGTTTTCAATAGATTAAGAGCTTTAGAAGCTTTCCAAGGATGGCAAAATATTCTGAAACATGTGCCTTTGTGGTGCACTAACTATCAAACACAAAGAACGCTGAGATTAACACCAAAATTATTTCAGCATATAAAATGCAGTCATTTTCCATCCTCATTTAACAATTAAAAAAACGTACCAGAAACCATCTTTTTCTCCTTCTTTCAAATGACAAGTTCCACCATGGTGGCAGGGGTTACTAATGCAAGCATGAATGGGAATATCACAGTCTTGACCCTATGCAAGGAACAACAATGATAATGTTAGAAGAAAATACAGACACTAGTGGAAGAGTGCTGGAGAAAGTGTACAGGTTGTTAAGGAGAAGCTTAAATTTCAGTGAGTTTTTTCCTTTTCATGCAGTTCCTACCTTGAAACCATATGGGCATGTACATCTGTAGAAGTCAACTGGATCATTGTTGCAGGTTCCATCATTTTTACAGGGATTTGATAAACATGGGTTACACTTTGCAAGAATATTAACATCCACAGGTCCTTAAAAATACAAAATGGATAGTCAGAAAGAAGCAACTATTAATTTATATTTGACAGGATTTATCTGCCATGTTGCTTTAAATTTTAAAATACAGTTCATATTTTAGACTTTGTGGTATTTCTATATGAATGAAATGCTGGACTGTCCTTAATTCTTTTGATGTGACCAAATAAATTTGGGATTGGATTTTTTGGTTTAAGTGTCACTTTTTTTTTTTTTTTTTAAGAAGCTGACACCAAAGTGACTCCTATATCCCTATTCTATGAAAGCTGTACAATTCTGATCCATGATGATTACCTTCCCTTCATATCAACAAAATAAAGAATACAATTTCAGCTTTTGTTTCATTCGGGGGTAGAAATTGCCCATGAGACAATGGGCTATCACAGTTTGCAATCCTTCCCTTCGTGGTGTTACTGAGAACACTACTTTTAATGCATTTTTGTGTTAATTTATTTTTTATCTGCAGGATCACAGAAATTCCAAAATGAAATGATAAAACTACCTGTAAATTTGTTGAACATCTATAGACTTCTTTAAAGTCTGTAATTTAAACTGCATTTCTCAAGCTATCTCACAATAAATAGCTCTATACTGTTCTTTCTCCCTTATTAGTCAGACATGGTTCTGGCATTACTGAATTAGCTAAGCCCACAAATTATGCAAACCATACCATGAATCTAAGTACAAATGAAGACTGCAAGCCATGCTTGCAAACCAGTTTCTTATATTAATTATTAAAATGATAGAATTCAGAAATTAATATTGACAAATCCCTAAGTTTCAGAAGTCAGATTTAGAACTTTGGCCTACACAAATCTTACCTCTAGTATATAAATATTTTCAGATATTTATTTATATTTCTGTTGTTTTACAATTTTACAGCCATTACATGATGAATTTTCAAGTTAAGAGCCATGTTTTTAAATCTTTTTTTCTTTTTTTGTTAAACAACCAAAAACCAACTAGTGCAAATGCCTGATTGCTCCTTAAGAAGTTTTGCACAAAATGAGCCAAACTGCAGAGTTTTCCAAGCACAAAGGGCTTTGCTGAGATATGGGGCTTTATTCTATTTTTAAAACTTAGATTGCTTGACTTTCTTCTTTTACTTTGCAAATTAATCTCAGATAAGTCCTTGTAAAGGAGCTGGCATGAAAGGAAGCCATGTGATTGTAAGGATTCAGTAGAGGGTATCAGACAAGGAGCGGTCGACTTTTTTTTTTTTTTTTTTTTTTCTTTTTTTAATGTGCTGTTGTTGCTATTCTTCTGTGACCCAGCTTGCAAGCAGGACACAGTAATATGTGATAACGTGTATTGCCCAAGCTACAACTGCATGGATCATTGACTTTTTTTTGTCTTCATTACCTGACTTTAAAAGAGAAATCTATATCTTGTTAAAATAGCTATTATACCAGCCCACAGGAGAGGTAGAAAAGTTGAAACAAACATCATAGAAGCAAAATCTAGAAAGTTCTGACTGTACTCTGGACTACTGCTGATTATTGCTGAACTTTATTAAGGTGTTCTGTGAAAAAAAAAAAAAAGGTGCAAGAGGCACATACTTAAAAATTTGTAAAACTGTGCTGTAGCCTGGGAGTCAATCCTTCCTTCTGTTTATTTTGAACATCATATTCTCTTTTTCACTTTTCATGGAAAAAAATGCTAATTAATTGGCATGAATTAAAAAACAGTCATTTTCCCAAATGGATTAGTGATTTAAATTTCATTTCAAAAGCAGAGACAGAAAATGGGAACTTAATTCTCAGCAAGATAGTAAACAACACTATCTGATTTTGTGCTGTGTTTATTTCAAACTATTATGTATGTAGTATCCAATACAAATTAATATTTTGATTTATCATTCTTCAGTTGTAAGATCAAAAAATGTAAAGGCAGTTCTGGAACCTATTTTCATTTTCACTATACTGTTCCTTTCCTCTTTCTGCTTGCATGTATTAAAAGACTTGTATATGAAAAAGAACGTGCTTCACAACCTATTGTTTAGTTTTTCATATTGTAGACATATACATTCTTGAATAAACCCTAAGTGGAAAAAAAATTTCTTCTGTAACAGTGAAAAACTAATAGTATTTTACTGACAAACACAGATACACACATCTATGTGTAAAATTATGTGAAAAAATATTTCAGTTAGATAATTTTCAGAACTCAAACCCAGACTTTGAAAATAACAAAATGGTTCATACAATATGCTAAACAATATATCATGAATAGTAAGCTGTAAAATCATCACAGGGGAAAACAAACAGTAAACATGCATGTCTTAGGAAAGAAGTCTGCTTGAGGTACACAAAAGGAAGGTCAGAAGGTCCAGTCTTAATAAGATCACCCATTTCAGATCTATTTACAACCTTACCTGGTACCAGAAAACCACAAGGCCCTGGAATCTCTAGAAGCAGGGCATGGATGGTAAAGAAGCAAAAGTAAAAGATTGAGAAGCTGTTAGAGGCCACATGAAAGAAAAAGAAAGAAAAAGAAGAGAGAAAAAGAGAGACAAAGAGAAAAAAGAGTGATAGAAAGAAAAAAGAAAAAACCCACCCATAAACATAGAACAAAACCTGAAAGAAGAAAATGTTAAGAGATGATTTCCCAAGTAAAAGAATTAATAAAATTAGAGTAAGGTACAGTGATTTTATGGAGCTTTACAACTGAGATGAGACTTTATTTTAAAATGCCATTTTCATGGGGAACTATGCATTATGCAGGTAAAATTCAAGCATCAACTTCACTTGTAATTGAATCCATAAATACCAAAAGGAGGGAATTACACATTACTCTTTTCCTGTAAATATATGTACAACAGCAGACCATCCACAGATATTCTGAAAACAGCCCTCTCACTCATAGCCTAAAATTTTGGTTTTAATAGGAATATAGCATCTTCCTAATTTCTATTATTCAGCAATACATTTTCAAGCAAAAGATAAAATTACTTATCTTAGAGTAACAGACACATAATGTCTTAGAGGGCCATCATGTTATTGAAATGTTGCTGATTTGCAATCTGCAATTATAAGGATCTTCATTGAACAGTAGAAGGAAAACTATTTTCTCTCAAAAGTAACCATAATACTAGATCTCCACTCTTGGAAAAGAAACAAATACACAGTTCTTACCCTGCATAATAATACAAAGGCTATTTTCTGATGGGCAAGAGGGAGTAATAAATACTCTCTGGATTGTCTGACAGAAGCATAACAATGATTGTAGGCAGGAGTGATACAATTTTTAAACCTGTCAGAGCTGGAAAAAAACCAAGCAGGTCCTTCATGTCCATACAAATATTATTTCACTTTTATCCCTACAACAGTGTGCAATAAGACCGGATCTGCAATAATGTTCAGTGGATGCTTGTAAAGAAAATGCACAGATTGGCCAGCAAATGTTCTAAGTAAAATCAGGCTAAGAGACTATGCAACAGATGAGTGTCATATGCAATGAACACTGGTATGACCTCAGAGATGGACTGCTGAACAACTGCAAGAGGATTTGGAGGGTCAGAAACTTCACTGGCATTACAAGTAACAAGATGGGTTCCAGTGGT